CCCCAAAACCCCAAAACCCCGTAGCTTAGTATAGAAATAGAAAAAGCCATAAATTAGTGAATAAATGCTAATTATGGTAAATTTAAACAACTCAATGAATAATACTAGCCTTAAATTTTGCAAATTTGTTAAATCACTTAAAATCAAATATATTTTGTTGCTAAAGATTTTACAATGTTTGTTTTAACTCCTTTAAATATTTGATCTCTTAATCTCTACGTTTAAAAAGTGATTTTGCAGGATTATAGGTTCTATCAAATGGATCTAATATCATTAAACTATAACTTTCTAAATTCTTTAAGACATTATTCTGGACATAGGAATCATTATTCTATTATTGCTAGTTATATTTATCTTCTATAATCTATTTAATCTATTTTAAATCTAAATTTCGGTTGAAATTATTGTTAATTTCATTTGTATCATAAGTAATTTATACTACTTAAGTATTAATTTAGCCCAATAAATCTATTAAGTAAGAATAGAAATCTACTAAAAGCTCAGCTAAAGTATAATGTTTTCCAGTTGATAAATTCTTAGATGGCTAAAAATTTTGAGCTATAACATTGAGGTCACTCTCGAAGGCAATATTAGTAGAGTAGATCTTATTAAATATACATTTTTAATCTTTTACCAAACATTTTTAATAATTCATGATAACCTTATCTTGTTCTCTATGTTTTTAAAGGTAAGGCAGCTAACCAAGAAATTACATTCTGGCAATAGCCATCAATACAAATGAATATGAATTTAATCTCATTACCTTATTGCTGAATTTGTTTCTATTCCACTTTTTCAGCAAAAGCACTAGCTAAAAAAATCTTGAATCAATTTTAGCATAAGTTTAGATCAGCTATGAATTCATTAATTCGCAATACTTATTAACCTAGATTTCAATCCTCATTTTATTGATTTTATCAAATAAACTAAGCATCACTCCACTCTTCATTTCTAAAATTTTAATTTAATCATACCTTTTTAAGTAGTATGGCTAAATCAATTTCATTCTTATCTAGTTTAAGATGATTATGTGGTTTATTTCAAGGTCTTCGAATAAAATTGCTATATCCAGATCTGAATCATAAGGCAATGAAAGACCTGTTACAGCTGATCCATATAGTACGATTTCATAGCTATTTTTGTACTTTTCAGATAATTCTTAATTAATTACTTCCGCAATTTTAATGTAAACCTCCTCCAGTTTCTACGCTACACTTTGATTAAAGTACAAATAAGGGATTATCTCATCAAGTTTTGACTATAGCTGATTTGTTTAAACATCATTTGATGAATGACTTCTCTAGATGTTTTATTATTGGTTGTGTAATACTGGAGATTATGTCACCAATTGAGTATCTGAAGGCATTGAATTTTGTTGCTTGATTTAAGGTTTTATCAAATTATGTTGCATTTGCTATTATTATTATAATAATCGCTTTAATTTTGATATTGAGGTACTTTTTCTTCTTCTTAAAGTGATTTTGAATTTATTCTCTATTTCTCAATCTATTGCAACATTTTCTAGATCTAGCTAGATTACTATTAATTGAAGACTTTAGATTACAAAAAGCCTATAATTTTTTCTATTTCTTGATGCAATTTTTTATGCTAAGAGCTTAGATAATACTAATTTCCTAGTACACTTTCAACAATAATCTTTTTGATATGTTCTAGATCTTTAAATCATTTATCTTATATAAACCTTTTCAAATCAATCAGTATATTTTTCTGATTTAAATTTAGTAAAGTATCTTATAAGTATACCAGATTGGCATGTAAGTTTTATACAGCTTTTTTCAATGATTATTCAGCTCTATCAAAATTAGGAAAACTAGTAATATGAGAATAGTATTCATCCATAAATTTTTCGTTTAATTTTTCTACATTCATAAAGTCATAGTCTTAAGATTATTCCATTTTACTATCTTAGTGTTAAATTATAAATTCCCTGTTTAAATGTTTTAATTATAACTGCATATCATCAACAAAATATTAACATAAGGGGTTTTGGGGTTTTGGGG